ACAGTGTGTAGAGAGCTTCATGGAATGGATTTCCATGGGCAAGCAGCTGCATCCAACCTTACATCACCAAGAGCAATGCAAAGCATCAGATGTAGTGGTGTAAAGCCACTGGAATATAGAGCAGTGGAGACATGTTCTCTGGAGTGACCAATTACACTTCTCTGGTAATCTGATGGACATGTCTGGGTTTGGCAGTTGTCAAGAGAATGGTACTTGCCTTGACTGCATTGTGCCAAGTGTAATGTTTGGTGGAGGGAGGAGTATGACATGGGGTTGTTTTTCAGGGGTTGAGCTTGGCCCCTTCGTTCCAGTGAAGGGAACTCTTAAGGCGTCAGCATACCAAGACATTTTGGACAATTTCATGCTCCCAAACTTTGTGGGAACAGTTTGGGGATGGCTCCTTCCTGTTCCAACATGATTGCACACCAGTGCACAAAGCAAAGCCCATAAAGACATGGATGAGCAAGTTTTGGGTGGAGGAACTTGACTGGCCAGCACAGAGTCCTGACCTCAACTGGATAGAATGTCTTTGGGATAAATTTGAGCGGAGACTGTGAGCCAGACCTTCTCATCCAACATCAGTGCCTGACCTCACAAATGCGCTTCTGCAAGAATGGTCAAACATTCCCATAGACACACTCCTAAACCTTGTAGACAGCCTTTCCAGAAGAGTTGAAGCTGTTAAAGCTGCAAAGGATGGGCCAACCCAATATTGAACCCTATGAACTAAGACTGGGATGCCATTAAAGTTCATGTGTGTGTAAAGACAGGCGTCCCAATACTTTTGGCAACATAGTGTATCTAATAAAAAAATGTTAAAAATTATTTTTCTTTAAATTTCTCTAAATTTAGGGCAAAATGTATTCTGCTACATATTTTTTATTACAAAAAATATGGATAAGTGTACATCAATTGGTTTGCATGAAGGTTATAGCATCAACAAATATATATATATATATATATATATACACTGGAAGTTTTATTTATTATTTTTTTTTATACTTGCAATGGCAGTGATCAAAGACTTATAGTGGGACTGTGATAGTACATGGGCAATCTGACACTTTGTGGGAACTGACATCTCCAGTGACACTTATACAGTGATCAGTGCTAATAATATACACTGACATTGCACTAATGACACTGGCTGGGAAGGGATAGGGGCAATCAAGGGGATAACTGTGTAGCTAATGTTTGTACTGATTTTACTAAGGAATGCTTTGCAGGGAATCAAAAACTGGCACATTCCCAACGTCAGGACATATCTCTGTGTTGTTTACAATCACATAGCTCTATTCTGTCATCCGCTTCACCAATTGGCGGGTCTCAGCGATCAATCATTGGCCTGGACTTGCTGCTTGTGCTGTAACCACAACACAGTCAGGGAGGCATGTGCACCCCCCTACCTGAGAAAGCTGGATCGCATATCAGATACGTAATCCAGCGCAGAGAAGCCACATTGCTGCTGTACTTCTAAGTAAGGCGGTCAGCAAGCAGTTAAGAATATTTCTTTTAGAAGCAATGTATCTGACATTTGCTATACATTCACTGCAGGGGTATCTTCCTCTTGCATGTGTTTTAAATTGCATAGCTTTATTCACCTGCAGTAAATGTTTGGTGAACCCCTTTAAAGTGAAATTCATATATCATTCAGTGCAACCTGTCTTGAGGCAAAAGTGGACTCTGTATTCAGTAATTCTGATAATATTTCCTGGCGTTAGAAAATGAATCCTGGCACCCCAGATTTTCTTTAAAGAGGTCACGTGTCATTAAAGATAATGTCTTTTAACATTGCCTTATATGAAGAGGGAGAAGGTGAGGATTAATAAACTGGATTTGCTATAAATATGCAGTAACAGCTATATTGCAATGCAATGTGGGAATTTTACTAAACCTGGTGCACAGAGAATCTGGGGCAGCTGTGCAAAGTAACTAATCAGCTACTAACTTCAGCTTGTTCAATTGATCTTTGACAATAAATCCTGAAAGCTGATTGGTTACTATGCACATCTGCACCAAATTTTGATTGTACCAATTTTAATAAATCTCCTCCACTATTTAGTTAGGATATAGTACTATTAGGAGAAATTCCACACTGTTTTTATAAGGTGTGTTACAGCCAAAGAATCTCGCTAATCCCTCCTCATCCCCCCAAAAAATAACTCTCTTTAAATAATTTATTGCAGCATAAAAAATTCCTACCTAAATCCATAGTGGTGTGTATGAATCTTGAATCCTTTAGATTTAAGAATGAAAAGATTCTTGTTTGGGTACCCATGTTTCTGCCTGGGTGTTGGCTGTCTAGTGGCAGGGTACTCTCAAGAATACTGCAGCACTGTTATGAAATAAGACAAGGGGATTGATCAGTGACTGGTGGACTCAGACTGCACTGCTGTTTCACCAGTCTCCACTGTTGGAGGCATCAGAAAGGGACATGTGATGGCAAATGGAAAGCGGGACCAAAGTTCAGCTGTTGCAAACTGCAAGCAGGCAACCTCCTTATTGTAAAATAGACATGAAATGTCTCTTCTGCAGTAAAATACACCTACCTGTCTGCTCACAGTGTTCTCCATGTTAACTGAGCTCTACATGTGGAGTTCCTGTGTGTGATGCATGTGCAGGAGTGATGTCATCCCGGGACAGCCAATGGAGACAGCTGAAGACCAGCACCCAGAAGAAGATACCGGTTCTGGAAAAGGATGGGAACCATTGAAGGAAAGGTAAGTTTAGCTCCACTATAAGTAAAACATTGCCTCAGAAGATTTTTTAGAACATTGCTGAATGATGAGAGCCATAGGATGGTAGATTGGTATGGATTGGGGGGAGGGGGGGGCAAAATTTGCTGGAAGTCGTGGTTCTTTAACTCCAATAATGTTTTAATGATTTTTTTTTTTATAGGAGGGGATGACAGGTAAATAATCTAATATATTCTTTAAGACACAATGCCCTACCATTGCTAGAGGAGGGTTGAATGCCAGTAATAAAAAAGTAAATAATGTGCATGTGCCTAGCATATTACAAATAATTTTTAACACACACCTCTCTTCTATACATAACAATTATTTTTTAGTAATAATCATGAAATTAAATACTGTGAAAATGTTCTTTACCTGAAAGTTTTTATTCATTCCTGTAAAAAAAAAACTATAAAATAAAATTCAAGGAATTAATAATGGTGCACATGTTTGTGGCATAATATGTGAATGATATCAATGTGGATTGATACTGTCAGCTCTGAAGAGCACAGGGGCAGACTGACCATTTGAAAAAACTCGGACACTGCTCGAGGGCCTGGGGTCAGTAGGGGGCCCCATGAGATGCCCCTGTGTCCTTGCCCCATGAGTTTGGGCAAGGACACAGGGGCCCCATGATCCCCTATTGCCTAGGGGTCCCATGAGTTGTCAGTCCGCCCCTGGTAGAGCATTACATTTTAGTGATATGGTCCTCTATACAGCAGTGCCTCCCCACAAATTCCCCCCCCCTTTTACCCAGCAAAAATCTCTCCATCCCCTAGTAGCTAACCCTCCTCATCCTGAAATAAAAACACTATCCCTCTTTTCATGAAAAAACATACCTTATTCAGAGTAGTGCCCTGCATGGACTGAGGGGAAGTCCATAGACAGTTCCCCCCAGCTTTGTGTGATTTGATGTTTCAGAGCTGAGGATGACCTGGGGAAACTTCCCTCCTATCTGCATCTGGGGTCTGTACAGGGTAGGGACATTACCAATATGTGTTGTGTAGCAGTAATATGTGGGACAGATGTCATTACCCTGGGCATAAAATATTGTAGGGTGATTTCCCTGTTTCACTGTGTTTTGGACAGCAGCTTAGCAAATTGAGATAGCACTCTTTTCCAATATGCGTACTTTTACAATAAATCATTTAAAAGAACTTTTTAATGGAAACCAACCTGATTAGTGAAGAATAAATTGATTACCAAAAGGAAGCTGTATTATGCACATATGTTAATGATTGTGTTGACAGTGATTATGTAATAAAACTTGGCTACCGGTAATTCCTTAGTGAAATATATTTTTTGCCTCCTCATTTTCCTTTAGTGATAATAATGTAGGGGGGGGGGGTTAACATTACCTATAGCCACTTATAGATTCACATAGTGTCAGTGTGTGCTGGAGGCTTGGAGTGAATTGGGAAAGCTGACAGTGTGCTATACATTGCTGTATTGTGCTACGTTACAGTGAATTGCAGTGTGGTGGGATTGTTATGGATTGCTATGTGACAGGCTGCATATCTTTATGTAGGTAAACAGTAGAAACTTTTAATTACTTGGGGTGCCAACTGCTTTAAAACAGCACTGGGATAGTGGATCTTTTTCTCACTGCCATTTCAAAACAGTAGCAGGGATCAAAAGCTCCAGCAGATTGTGCCAGGGGTTAATGCTGTGCTTGCTGGCTGTTTGTTGTAGCCGTCATCCAGTGCTAAGCCCAGGAGCTGAGACATTCAGCTCCTGGGCTTCTGATTCTTTCACAGATAACTTAACCACTTGCCCTCCTGAGGATTTACCCCCTTCCTGACCGGGCCATTTTTTGCAATACAGCACTGCGTTACTTTAACTGACAATTGCGTGGTCATGCAACGCTGCACCCAAATGAAATTTATGTCCTTTTTTTCCCAATTTAGCTTTCTTTCATTGGTGTTTAATCACCTGTGCAGTTTTTTTTTTTTTTTTAAAAAAAGACCGACAATTTTGAAAAAAAAAAAGAAATATTTTGACTTTTTGCTATTAAACATGTCCAGTAAAAAATTTTCAAAAATCAAATTTCATCATAAAATTAGGTCAAATTGCTACATGTCCTTTGCAAAAAAAAAATCCCAATTTGTGTAAATTAATTGGTTTACGTGAAAGTTATAGCATTTACAAATGGCAGTATATATACTGGAATTTTTTTCTTTAACTAGTCATCGCAGTGATCATCGACTTGTAGCAGGACTGCGGTGGGCATTCTGACACTGGGAGGAACTGACTTGGTGTACTGACATCCCCAGTGACACCAATACAGTGATCAGTGCTAAAAAAAAAAGCACTTACACTGTACTAATGGCACTGGGCAGGAAGGGGTTACCATGAGGGCCAATCAAAGGGTTAACTGTGTGCTGGGAGTGTTTTACTGGGGGGTGGTGTGTTTGGTGCTTCACTGTAAGCATGCTGCTCTGAATGGCTGTGCTGTGTACAGTCATCCAGAGCAGTGTGCCCGAGCCGACAGGGAGGAGGACTGTTAGTAAACAAAGCAGGATCCTCAGTAATCACTGGGCGCAGGTGGGTAATCACCAGCTGAGACACGGTAATTGACAGCCTCGCGACCGTGAATGGCGGTGCGGGTAGGGAGTGTGCGTGGCTTGCACATGCCCCCTACCCAGAAATACAAAATTACGTATATATACGTGAGTTTGCGCACCCCTGCCACCCTATAGCAGTATTTCTGCTATAGGATGGTGGGGAAGCAATTAATAGGCGTGCACTGCGAAAATAAAACAGTACATCTGTGTTGTTTATTTTGGGAGTGTGGCAATGCCACAAGTAATATACCTGCACCACATTCAATATCGAGGGTCAGGCTGATCTGTAATAACTCTGCTTAGGCTCTCTATACAGCAGCAGATCATTGCTATAGATGCATCTATTGTTGGATTACTATCAACGCCCAGCAAGCACAGGTGCTGCGTACAGCTGCCCATAGAAATTAATGGCTAAGAAACAGCATATACCTGTGTACAGCCATGCACAACCATTCATTTTTCTGGGAATATGCCCATACACTATATGCTTGTTTACACGAATATCGACATACTGTCATGCACAGCCATTCATTCTTATGGACATCTGTACACTGCACCTGTACTTCCTGGGCAAAGAAAAATGCTTGAATGTTTATATTATATGGACAATAGCATCAATGTGCATGATGCCAAGTAAACATATTCCAAATGCGCATGTAAATTAATGTAAGGTCATTTGAATTTTTAGCAATCACAAACCTATGGCACAGTAACTGTCCTGCTAATTTGTGTCCTCAGGAACCCGATTGTGACTTAATGTTACACTTACAATGTAAACGTCGAAAGAGGAATAACACTCTTGTAATGTAAAAAAACGCATTGTAAAATGCAAATCTTTATATTGAGCTTTACTGTTTGATTACATTGCAAAACAGTTGCATTGATAGATGTATTTTTTATCAGCAGCATTTGTTGATAATGTTTTGAAGTAAACATATGAGAATGTGCAAATTACATAAACATTGTGTTGGGAAAAATTACAGGAAAACACATTTTTTTTCTAATCTTTTACAATTTATTCTCAAAAAAAAAACAATAAATTAAAAATGTGTTTTCAAATTTGCTACCAAATTAATTCCCTATTTGTCTCAAAAAAAGTGATGTATAGTATGCTATGGTAGACTATGAAACCTAACAGATATAATCCTTGAGAACAGGGCCCTGCCACTTCTGAGTCATTGTAAATATAGTACAGTGCGAAAAAACTGATATTGAATTTCAAGCCATTGACTGCCGGAATGCATTCCTGGACCCTACCATGTTCCTACCAAGTGGCTAAGACATACTTTAGTGGCTCTCTCATATATAGGTGAAGTAGTATAAACACATTTCATAGCATCATTACATATTTATATATAAAAAACTAAAAATGAAAAAAAAAACCTACAGAAACAACAATTTTTAATTTGTCTTTTTTTTCTTTAATTACAAGAAACTCTACTATAAAACCACAAGTGTCCAAATCATAAAATCAACACTCTAGACTGCTATTTTTGTTGGGTGTTTCTATTTACCTCCCAAGTTTTATGATTTATGTTTTCATCATATTTTTTTTATGGGGAAAAATATTAAAAAAAATATTAGTTTTTTTTTTACATTGTGTATGTGGTTGAAATAAACAGAAAATATATTTAATAAACATGCTTTTTTTTTTATAAAAGTTGTTTTAAAATAAATGTATGGTATAAAAAATATAGTATTGCCCCCCCCCCCCCCAGAAAAAGGAATATAAAAAATATTAGCTAGGTTGACTGCAAAACAAAGCAGCAGTTGTAAGACAATGTATCATATATCCAAAACCTGAAAAAAATCTCAAAGGGTTTATAAATGACTCTAGTGGGTAAATTTAAAGGTGAGGCCCAAGTTAATGAGAGACTGTAGAGAAAGAAAAACTGTTGGGTTTCACTGCAAGAATTAAGATACTGCCTGGGATGAAGTAGTACAAAATGACCAGCAGCAATTATAGGATAATAGCCATAACTGGTGTATGCATAACTTTTATGTTTAGGGGATAACTTGAATGAGAGTGACATAATGTGAAGTGTAAGTGAACACTGTTCTTGCACTTAGACGCAATCAGTGACATTACTTGCTTCCATTCCTTAATTGGCTGTGAATCCCAGATCACCATATATGAATACATAGTTGGTCAATATAATGAACTTAGTATAGAGTTATTCGCTTTGAGGTCATTACAGAGGGCAAGGGGGTGACCTTTACATCAGGATGAAAAGGGATTTAACCTCTACATACCTCCTCTGATCTACCACATATATCTACACCAGCATTTGTGGTGAAAAATGTGCTAAATAATGCACTTCCAACAGTGAGATCAAGCTATTCCTGGCAGCTTGGGGTCTCATGTGAATAATCAAGATCCAGGAGGACTCACTCCTGATCATTTGATCACTGTAATACCCTGTGACTGACTATCACATTGACCAGTCAGTAAAACTCACCTCTGTACTATTTTTTTTACTCTAGCCAGAGAAAATTGAAGACCGTACAAAATATTTTTGTCTGTTTTTTTTTTATAGTTGATGTTTTAAAAAAATCATTTAAAGTGTGTTTGTGAGACTGTCTATTATGGCACTGTAAGTAAGGCATATTTTGTAAGCACAAGGACTGAGGCATATATGTGCATTTTGCACATTATTTAACCATTCCATCTTAGGCTTAATCTGACCATACTTACTGTTTGCCATGGTACGCTATGAACCCCGCTGCTTTGGTGGGATCAGTGTGCCCCGCAGTGCCCCAGGTCATTCAGAATCCTAGCACCCCCCTCTGTTGCATAGTGGGCATAGTAGTTAAAGGTCACAAAAACAGCTGCTGCCTATAAGTGTAGTGTATTTCCTCAATAATTATCACACAAAAGGCACCTTACCCAGTCTACTTCTCAGTTTAGACTGAAGTAGCTTTTAAAAAAATGTGTGTATATGTGTTTATGTTCAAACCCAACTCTGGAAATAAAATATGTACCAAGTAAGGGTTCAGACATTTGCACATTTTTGTGAAATGGAACCTTTTAATAAAAAACCCAGGAATTTTTTTCTATCAAGAGTGCAACATCAGCTTGAATTTTTGCACTAGTTAACATCTTTATATATGAGAAGAATTATTAAATTTGGTGTTTTCAGCCTTTTGAACTTGCTTGCCTCAAGGTCTGGTTTACTACTACACAGTCTCAGAACAAGCTGCTGCTCAAACATTATGCAAACAACCAGTACAGTAGGTCTATTTTCCCTTCGTCCTGGTTGAAAAAATCCTTCATAGAGGGATGAATGCACAACACATAAAATGGAATGTAAGGTTGATGATAAGAGAAGCAATAGTGGCTGTTTTCATTGTGCATTTTCAGCTGAGTTATGCAAATCGACCTCTGCAATGGTATTTGTTTGAAAAAGAGAGTTTTAAATTGGTGCTATTGACCTTCACTTAAATGACATTCGAACGTCAAGCGGAGTGTTGCAGTGGAAATGCGGCTGTTGTCTGCAGGTGGCAATTGATGAAGAGATTGACTGACACTTTACTCAGCAACTCATTTTTGCTCTTAATTTGTGCAGGGGGAAAGGTTTATCCTCTTAAAAGATTTAAAATAAACCAGAGAGCACTGTTGATAAATAATCTCTTATCAGATCAATTTTAAATATATTTTAAAGATGCTTGGAGCAAAATTACAGCCGGAAAGGAAAACATCAATAAAAAGTTTAATGTGCATAAATGCAATAATAAATTGTTGATTATACAACACTTTGTATGCTTTAAGAGAATATAACAAAAATAACACTGACAATACAATATTTGTACAACACTTACTAAAAAATGTAGACTGCTGTTAGATCACATGATGTTCCTGCCCTAGAGTAGTCACTCAATACTTGCCTCTACATTCTGGAAAAATGAAAATTTTTAAATTCTATTTTGCTATTCAGGCACAACAAGGGTAAGCACATGCTCAAACATTAGTAATCATAATATGACACTTGCGTTAGAGAAGAATGGAACTTGTTACACATGCAAGAATGCCCACAGGACATTCAGAACAATGAGCTCTGTCTGTAAGATGCAGCTCAATGCATGTGTGAAAGGGTACTTTAGAATCATAGTTAGGCTTCTAGAACTTTAAGCCCAGAGGCTGGCTTAGGGCCAACATAAATAAAAAATGAATGCTAGGCTCTGGTGTTAGATGGTGGGACCACAGTATTTTTGATCCATTGCCAGCTAATATAGTTTGTAGTAGAACCAAAGGTTAAGTTTAAAACATTTCTGGAATTGTAGACAGCCAGGTGAATATGAAAAAGTCTGTCCAAAAATCCAGACTAGAGATTTGAGGGAACCAGTAACACATTGTATGACAATGTATTCCACAGCAACTCATACACTGGCTGAATATTGGCTAAATTAGATACTTTTAAGAACAATTTGACAATACTTGGACTATGCATGGAAAGCCCTTCTTACCACCACCAGGTTTTTATCTCATGGGATATAGTATTCAATATACAGATTTTTCTGTTTCCATTGCATAACCTACACTTTTGGTCATGACACTAAATATTTGGATTGCACAAATAGGGACTTATCTATGTATAGCAAATGTTTTAATAGTTCACATACCTGGATTAGGGTTTAGCTTGAGTTGAGAATCCTGAATTATACATGCATGTCAACAGGTATTTTCTGATAGCCATTTATGTTTATTATTATCATATTATAAGCAGCTGGAATTTTTTTAGATTGAGTGCTAATCTGAAAAATACTTGAAGTTATTCTCCCACACACAACTCAAAAACTGTAAACCTTTTAGCATTAAATCCCCCTATCCCTTTTTACTTCTCAGTTGCTCCTCATTAAGGTCCCTTGTGTAGATTTGTACAGTATAAATAATGGACTAATCAACTATCAACAGTCTATATTGCTCCAAATTTTTCATCCAACCTCTAACTTATTGATTGTGTACTTTCATCCAATAATATAATTAAAAAATTGGAAAGTACTATAAGGTTTACTTAACTATTTTGTTTCATTATG